CAAACAGGGAGGTACTACCGCCTGGGAAGGTATTGGTTGCTCATCTGACTTTCTGCCTCATTTACACATAATTGCAGGGTCTCAGTTGTTTCTCTTAATATTGACAGCACAACATACATACTGTATATCATTCTCACTCTTGATATATTTTTTCATTTTGTATTATTATTATTATTATTATTATTATTATTATTATTATTATTATTATTATTATTATTATTATTATTATTATTATTATTATTATTATTATTATTATTATTATTATTATTATTATTATTATTATTATTATTATTATTATTATTATTATTATTATTATTATTATTATTATTATTATAATACCCCAGGCCCTGGTGTGGGTCAGTGACCTGTGCCCGGGTGGGCTAATCTCCGTAAAAAAAAATAATAAAATAAAGATGAGACATCACTCCAACTCCGTCATCGCTTCTCCCACTCCATCAACGCTCGGCCCACTCATATATCCTTCATCCCACTCCGTCAACACTCCGCCCTGTCAGTTATCGCTCCTCCCACTCCGTCATCGCCCCCCACTCCGTCAAACTCCCCCACTCCGTCAAACTCCCCACTCCATGATCGCTTCTCCCACTCCGTCATCGCTCCGCCCACTCAGACCATAATGTATCTAATAGTAAAAGACCTTTATGGCTGGACCGGTTTCCCTTCTTTTTTACCATCGACTGAACATTTTAAAGCTTCTCTTGATAACAAACAAAAGGCCACTGCGTCCACAAACGAAAATTACAGATCAAATGTAGTTATCAAAGGCAGAAGCGGCGAGTTCATGGTGATTTTAGCGTTAGTTTATTATATTCAGCTGCTGTTATGTAAAAGACGTCTCACCAATTGAATGTCAAAGGTGAGGTTGTTGTTGATACTATTCCAGAACCTTGTTATTCACGGACACTGGGATACGTTAATTAATAATATTGTGTATTGTTATGTCTGGGTGATATACTGCACACACACACACACACACACACACACACACACACACACACACACACACACACACACACACACACACACACACACACACACACACACACAGTGACCAGATGACACACGAGAAGGCAACCAACTCTACAATGAATCGTTAAAAGGTCATTTGAACCTGATTTACTAAACTGTGGAACTTCTGCACATATTATAACCTTAATAGAGTTGGACTTAATGATTAAATATGAATGACGATAGTATATAAGCTGTTGAAAACGATATAATTGGCTGGCGTCTTGGTGGGCGGAGCGAGATGTGTCGATTCCAATTGATTTGACTGGAGGGTGACTGGGTGGGCGGATTTGGAGTATCCCTAAATTTAGGATCGGGCTCAAAAGCCTGTGATCTTAAATGTATCAAATATGTCATATTATGGAACTATTGGGTATTCAGTCTGTTAATTAAAGAGCATCAGGGCTGTACTAAACGGTTGAGTATAATGGATATTGTTGACTGGGAAGAAAGGTTTACATTTTCAGTTAAATTTTAGTGCATTGAATCATCCACCCGAGTGGTGTTAAGTGCAAACATTAATCTCAGCACCATTAAAATATTGCAGAGTGCAGGTGCAAAAACTACAGCATATTCACACACACATCTGATATTGTTGCAAAGGAAAAATATTTTTTTGTTGGAGTAATGCAACTTATGGGCGATGTTGACAGTTATTGTGTTTTGTCGTGTAGTATATTGTTTGTGATGATATATGAAGGGATAAGTCCTCAGGCTCTATCTTCTGTTCTAATACGTAATGCTGCTGGAGTTTATTTTCTTGTCGTCTTTCAATGATTAAACTCATATTTCTCAAACACACATCCTCAGGTAAACACCCACACTCTACCCCACCTCAGCCTCCCTAGCACACACACACACACACCACACACACACACACACACACACACACACACACACACACACACACACACACACACACACACACACACACACACACACACACACACACATTCTCTCTCCTTGTTTCAAGTCATCTTTTTCATCTCGTGTGTATTTTATCGTTGACTCAGAAATATTTTCTGGTCTGGGTCCAGGATTGTGAGGCTGGCTGGCGCGGTGCTGCTGGAGCACTGTGTCAGACAGTGTTCCATTACACACAGTGAAGCGGAAATACAATCTTCCTCTCCTTTGAATACCGATGTGGGAAGTGGGAGCTTTTCAAAAAGGTTGGGGTAGTGGCGGGGCAGGGTATGTCAGGGGCATGATGGGGGTAGTAACGGGGCAGAGGCGTGGTGGGGGTATGAGAGATTGTGGGGGCGGAGCATAAGTGACACCACAGTAGTAAGGGCACAAGCGACATTGTTTAAAATTAGAGAAAAAGGCGACTTTCGTGAAACACCCATCGGTACATGGGACGGGTGGGGGGGGGGGGCGCTACCTGCCTTGCTGGTTATAATTTGTGGGTCATATGACTGGTATATGCCTTGCCTTCATTACGAAACCTTTTTACAACATTATTCGTCCACGTGTGAGGCCTGCACGAACGTTTACAGCTCCGTGACGGCGCAGCCTCAGATTCACTCACAACAGGTGCTGAGTCATCCACATACGACACACTTTGTGATAGAAGAAACCTTGTTGAAACTTGCTGTGGTGGTAACCAGATTTCCGGCTTCGTTCTCACAGCTGTTGTGTTAAGGTGTTCTCGAGAACTAGGTCCATTTACACCGTCTTAGAGAGCCTCTGTACCTAGTGTCATTAACCTGGATTCTCAAATGCACGTGCGTTAAATTTCTCTCCCAGGACTGGTGCTACAGGAACACATCTAACTGACTCACGCCTGAAGTACGAGACAAGAACGGCGGCTAAAATACCAGCGAGACTCTGTGGTAGCTTTTTGTGTTCTTTTATCCCACAGGTACGAAAAGGACAAGCGAGTGTTTCTAGTCCTTTTCTACACTACACTGCTAGGCGGGAGGGGGGGGAGGGTCCATTAACTGCAAGATGACTGGACAACCGCTGGGCAGAGTCACAAATAAATCTTCAAATTATCAGGTGAGGGAGGCAGATGAGGGAGGCAGGTGAGGGAGGCAGGAGGGGAGGCAGGTGAGGGAGGCAGGTGAGGGAGGCAGGAGGGAGGCAGGTGAGGGAGGCAGGTGAGGGAGGCAGGTGAGGGAGGGAGGCAGGTGAGGGAGGCAGGGGTGGGAGAGGCAGGTGAGGGAGGCAGGATGAGGGAGGCAGGTGAGGGAGGGGGAGGGGAGGGAGGGAGGCAGGTGAGGGGAGGCAGGTGAGGGAGGCAGGTGAGGGAGAGGCAGGTGAGGGGAGGGCAGGTGGGGGAGGCAGGTGAGGGAGGCAGATGGGGAGGCAGGTGAGGCAGATGAGGGAGGCAGGTGAGGGAGGCAGGTGAGGGAGGCAGGTGAGGGAGGCAGATGAGGGAGGCAGGTGAGGGAGGCAGGTGAGGGAGGCAGATGAGGGAGGCAGGTGAGGGAGGCAGCCTAATGTACCTATCACACACTGACTTATCAACTAGAGGTGCATGAAGCAGCTGGAATAGTAAGGGAGAGAAAGGGTAGAAGGGAGAAGTAAGAGATAGTAGGAAGAGAGAGGAAGAAGAGATAGAGACAGAAGAGATAAAGAGAGAGTTAGAAGAGAAAAAAGAAACAGACAGACAGACAAGAAAGAAATAGAGGAGAGAGAGACTGACAGACAACCAGAAGAGATAAAAAGAGAAGGAGAAAGATAGAGAGGGAGTGAGACAGACAGACAGACAGAAGAGATAAAGAGACACAAAAGAAATTAAAAGATGAGTGAGATAGAGAGGGAAAGAAAAGACAGACTGACAAACAAAATAGATAAAGAGAAACGGAAGTAAAAAGAGGAGAGAGATAGTGAAGAAGAGAGACAGAAGAGAAAGTTATAGAGCGGGTGAGAGACAGACAGACAGACAGACAAGAGAGAGAGAGGGAGAGAGGGGGAGAGAGAGAGAGAGAGAGAGAGAGAGAGAGAGAGAGAGAGAGAGAGAGAGAGAGAGAGAGAGAGAGAGAGAGACATGACCAAATCCTCTTGGTACAGAAGACAAAGAAAAACTTTTAGGGACGGAACTCGAAGTTTTGTTTAATTTGTCAGCAACTCCTTGTTTCTGTCCGCTCCCGGTGGTGGTGGCAGTGGTGGTGTGGTGGTGGTAATGGTGGTAGTGGTGGTGAGTGTGATGGTGGTAGCGGTGGTAACGATGGTGGTAATATGTATAAAACGATCATATTATCAGGCCGTGGTCCATGTGACACTTAATGTAACTGGAGTTTTTTTTTCACTTACTTATGGCAGTAAGTGGATGACGACGTTGCTCCAGATGATTGATGAGTTATGTGTTATTCCTCTAATGCCACCGTAGATGACTATGGAGTCCAATCCTAGAGGCGCAGATCTTGTTGTATAGGTGACAGGGAGTACTCACACACACACACACACACACACAGACTCTGTCAACTCGCCTCTCCACCTCCCGTTGTGTGGCCGAGGGAGCTTATGACTGACACTGTACCACAGAGCTGTGAAGTTCCTCAACAACTTCATGTAAATCGTCAGTCAGGTTGGCAGACTTGGTGATGAGGCTGGCAGACGACATCATCACTACCACCTCGTCAACTTTAATGTTATTACCACCAGTTTCAATTTTTCTATTCTGTTTTTATCCTCGTGTTCTAGGTTTCTTTTTTCTTCTTCCTTTTATACTAAGAGACAGCCTCGTAAGGATCCAGAGTTGTGTTGCTAGTTGCTTTCCTGTGATACTCAGGTGATATATATATATACCGTGTTATGTTGCGCTGTGTTGACAGGCAGAGAGTTGAATATCTCTTAATTTTTAACTGTTAATGGACTCGTGTAATTACTAATCTAGTATACAGGCTTAATAACATTTGCTGTTAAAGCACAATAATATATTATAACATCATCAGCAACTAAAAGCATGTAAACCTGACCTCGGGAGAGACAACCGCCAGCGTTAGTTGAGGATTCAGTAAAAACACTCCTTTAATTTCCTAACGCATTTATTTTTATGTATATTTCATCAGACTCCGCCAGCATAGCAGTGTAAGAACAGAAGAGCGACTGTATAGGTGAAGAAATAAGAGACAGATACGAGACAAGTAAGAGAGAGAGAGAGAGAGAGAGACCATCGGAGTACAATGGATTGACATGCCGTTAGACGTTCTCGACAATGGCGGCCAGACACCCAGTGAAGGCGGCGTTGTAGTCACAGGCCACCTCGTTGTGCTGGTAGTCTGAGCGCTTGTCATTGTAAGAGCCGTCCTGTGGGGGACATTGATATAATCAACACCTGTCTCACCTGTAATTGTCCAGTGATTTAAATAATGGTAGGACAGCTGAAAACTGAGTACACTTGTATTTCAGCAAGAGGTTGAGAGATAAAGATGTTGTGAGACAGAAGGTTAGGGAATTTGACAAGAAGTTCAGGGGTACAAGGTCACTGCGTATCTCTCCTTGGACAGGGAGTGAAGGAAGGCCACCCATCAGCCAACTTATTCTTACCTTTGCAGGACCACCGACGAGGGCGCCGTACAGGGTGTGAGGGTTTGGTCCTGGGTTTTGGAATCCCCAGTTGTCCTTTGTGCACGAGTCTGGTGGGATCGGGCACGAGCTGGGGAGAAAGGAGACCGAGCGAAGGTTAACATAACGCAATAGCTAACTTCCTGCGTCATTATATTAAAAGTAATGCCAGAGGGCGAAACTGGCGGAAGTTCTTTCACTACATCATGTGGGTGATGGTAATAGAGAGGTAGAGTGTACATCATGTGGGTGATGGTAATAGAGAGGTAGAGTGTGTACCTGGAGCGGTGGTGGGGGTGTGAGGGAGGGTCTACACCAAAGCCCACGACGAAGGAGTGACCGGCGTCACCCAGAAGGTAGTTGATCTGGCCCTCGCCCCACTCTCTGTTGGCGTCCGCGTCTGCTGGGTCTCCGTACTTGGCCGCCTGGATGAAACACACGCGGGTTAGCTACCTCTCTTATTAGAAGACCAATAACACGCTAGGTTATGGTCAATTAAGATGATAATTACCAAGGAAATCGATATATAACCTCAGAAATAATATAGAGAATAAATTGCTATACAAAGTTGGAGTCACAAGAGAGGGAGCGCCTGATAGCGTGGAGTTCTCGTCAGCTGCACTGATGTAACGTTTAGTAAGTAAACAGTCCTACTTAGTTTATCAACCACGGCATTAAGAGAAAAGGGTGTTTATTAACTGACCCAGAGAGAGATGAAGGCGACGTTGGCTGCATGACGGGCGGAGCCCCATTGATCTAGGTAGATAAGGCCACCAGGAGTGTACTGGGCGTCGTTCTTCAAGTACTCCAGGAAGGCCTTCAAGGCATTGCTGTATATAATGTTGTCTGAGTCAACCATCGAGCCCAGAGCCTGCAAGGGACCACCGTTAAGGGAATGTACTGTACAGTATTTACCACCTATGGCTAATACCTGACAGCTGTACATGAGTAACTTCTCTGTCGACACAATGTATAAAACCAGCAACTTAAAATTATGCCTCCTGTATAAGTTGACATGGAACAAGATCACGAGATGAGATTTATCACAAAGTGGACTGGTGTGAGACCATAACTATCTCATGGAACAACACAAGTTTCACACCTGACAACATGAAAGATTGAATGTTAAAACAAGATTAAGTTAGTCTGGTAATGAAGTAAACTAGATGTATTGTGCCAACTGGAGACCATCACTACTAAAAGACTTACAGGCTTAGTAATGATCTTATAGCATCTACTGTATTTTCATAGACTTTGGGAGTCTGGGTCAAACACTTTTGATAACCGAAACTTTCCTGGGTAACAGTGCAATATTTTCTTCACTATGTCTGTGTTACAACCTAGAATCGTACACTGGTAGTGCGGGAAACCCTCAATATGTAATATCTACTTACATAGGCGCCAGCCTTCTTGTCGTCCCAGGAGAACTGCAGCGCGTCTTCTGCCAGGTTAAACTCATCCCAGGCCTCCTGAGCCTTGGTGAGGTAGGTGTCGTCTCCTGTGGCGCGGTACAGCCACAGTGCGCCCCACAGCAGCTCGTCTCCGTACCCGCTCCACGACCTGTAGGTGATACACCACCAGGTTATTATGTGTCACTGACCTGAGGTACACCACCAGGTTATTATGTGTCACTGACCTGAGGTACACCACCAGGTTATTATGTGTCACTGACCTGAGGTACACCACCAGGTTAAGTGTCACTGACCTAAGCCAACACTTCCCAATTCAGAACGTTACATTCGCCCGTGTCATACTATTCCATGTCTCAGATATGATAATTACATTAAAAACTAAATTTTATTATCATATATAAACAAAGTGTTGCGTGTATAATTATATTGGTCTGTGACAACTGCTTTGAAAAAAATATCATTACTTTCAGTCAGCATTATAAAGTTTAGGGTGACGTGGAAGTATCAATGCACAGTATATTATGCGAGAGTTATTCTGTGTATTTGAAGTACGTAAGTAATTAAAGCTTCTAATATGACGTGATACACAGTATGATTTTGTAGTACTATTGAGCTCTAACCTGTAGTAGTCAGCAGCGTCAGTGATGGACTTGTGGTACTCCAGACGGTACTCGTCGCCGAAGGCATAGAGCTCCTTGGCCACCTCCAACATCTCAGCCGAGTAGTCGGGGTCAGCCTTCTGTAAGGTGTTAACAGTAGCGTGTTTATGTTTTATGGTGATGAAGGATCAACAAACACGAAGCGTAATTAGGATGGATAAGAGGATAAAGAAAACTTGGCTAAATAACCTAAGAATATGTAGGCAAATCTTTTCCAAAACTGTTAACTCTTTCTTCTTGTTCATGTGGTCTTTTTAATGTGTTTGATATGTTGCCTCTACCAAACTAGTTACCAAAAAGATAATTTATTAAAACAAGTAAATAATTTACTATATACTGTAGAGTAATCTGAGTCTCTCCCGGTAATGATGAATCGGTACACGTGACGGCAGAACATTATCTTCAACATAAAAAATATATCTGAATAAAATTATTACAAGTGGATGTTGAAGTAATATTCCAAGTGAAGTCAGTAGATGCAACTTTATATATATTTTTTTGAAGTTGATTGGATGAGTCAACTAAAAGAAGAATATATAGAAGGTGCGAGGTACAGTGTGACGGGTCAGTCAGTGGTCACAGTACCTTGAAGACGATGGAGGCAGCAGCGAGGGCGGCGGCGGTCTCACACGCCAACTCAGTTCCTGCAGGAAAATACAAATGGTCAGCGGCCTCATGAAGACAATCTAAGCTTGGAATACACTTATGTTTTACGATCAAATTTGTACCTGTGGCTTATCGATTTTGAAATTCAAGAAGGTGTCTTTTATGACTATTATAAGCTTCTCTCTTTGTGCCAAATATAGATAAGTCTCTGGTTTGTGACTGAATGTTTTAAATCCAGAAAAGTCTGGTAAAAGTATCTCATTAAGGCTGCTTGTGTTCATAAATACCCCAGGAGTCAAGATTAATCATCTGTGTGTGTGTGTGTGACTGAAAACTTTGAGGCAGAGAATTTTCAAACTTCTTTACTGAAGATTTTAACATAATAATTCCCAGCAGCCACAAACTTTGACGCCGTTTGCTGGTTGAAGGTGTGGAGTGAGAGGGGCAGTGACAACCTGAAGGGAACCAACTAAGACTTTAAAATCCCTGAGTCTTTATAACCGAGTGACATGATCAAAGACGCCTAACTATAGTACAGTGACCTGCTGACCTGGGGCGTCCTTGTTGATCTTCATGGAGGGACGGGCCATCATCATGTCCTCGGGCCTGCCCCAGAAGTTGTGGTCGTCGGTGCCCTTACCAACCTGATGGTCACCACAATATAGTGTGAGAGAGAGAAACGTTGATATAAGCAGGCCAGCAGCATACACCATAGAAGATAGTGACAGGAAGTAAAGATAACTTCAATAATTATGTTATATTTTACAACCTACGTTCTTGCTGACACCTTGACAAATATAAATAAAAACTGTGATCGCTTTGTTTCTTGTATCGTTTGATTGACCTCGTGTTTTTGGATCGTTTTAATGAAATAGAAATTGCTTAGAGATATTCTCGTATTATCAGCCATCAGTAATGAATCCCAGTGAGTTTACAGTAGACGCACCTGGCCGTACAGTTCGTAATCAGCGGTGTGGGCCTTGAGGAAGTAGTCAGTGGCCCACTTGACGGCCGCACGACCGTAGTCCGTCTGACCTGTGTGCCGAAAAACGTGAGACGTGTTATTATAACTTATTGTAGCTTGTGTTCAACATGTTAGCAACACAATACAATAAATCCTCAACTTGACCAACTATGATGCGTTTTCAATTAGCTGGAAACGCATCTCATCTATAGTGGACGCGCTGTGGATGTGTTCTTAATATCTTGCGGACGCGTTCGCAACGTATTTATTATATGTGCGTTGCCAAAATGTTGTTATTGAACTGTAAATGTATTATTATTGTTTTTTTTTTTTACTTTTAAGGCATATCATCACCATTAATTCCTTCATTCCTCACACTTCATCTATACGGAATTCTTCCTCCACTAATGTTTTTACACTAACCTACAACACAAGTCTTTACAAGCGGTACAATTACTCACCTTTTATCACACAACTAAGTCATACATTTTCATCTTTCTTATCTACGATACACGAGGCAAACTCAACTGGAAAACTACTGGTCACATTGCTCTCTGGACGACACATTCAGGTTTACCACACTTAATATATCACAGTGTAAACAAAAGGAAAATATGGAGTTGCGTCAAATGACCAGAGAACTAAGACCATATTTCACGCTACACTCACCAGCTGCCTCGTATCCTTCAGCAAAGTCTATGAGTCCCCAGGCCAGGACGGTGGTTGTGAAGGCCATCGGGAAGCCGAACTTGACGTGGTCACCAGCTGTTGGGGAGATATGATCCTGAGTCAGGCTGGAAGGTCAAGTGTTGGTATATCTGCTGGATGTATTTAGGTATATTGTTTATCACTTTATGACGGCCTCTCTCTCTCTCTCTCTCTCACCGTCGTAGTAGCCGCCAGTAAGGTTATGACCCACATCAGCACCGTCGTCCATAGCAGAGTCCCACCTCCAGGGTTCAACACGCTGGTCTTCCGGGAGATGTCCTGACCTCTGAGCCTCGTAGAACAGGAAGGACATGCACAGTGCCTGTAAGAGGTGAAGGGAAGCTGATGACTGGAGTCACAGAAATTACATTAAAGAGCTCAAGATAAGAATAGTATGGGTAGCTTTTAGCCAACGTTGGTGTCTGGATTTGAAACCCAAACACCCACAGGTGAAAATTGTTTACATGTTAGCATATGTGATAATTGTCTATAATTCCAATGCTGCAGTCAGATTGGTTGTCATATAAGAAGAGGGATTACGTAAAGATTAGCCCCAGCTTATTTCACCTTAAGACTAAACATCCTAATGTTACCTGGAGGGGTTAGGTTGGTTACGGTGGTTAAGGTGAAATTAGCTGGGGGCTAATCTTAAGTAATCCTACAGGAATACCATAGAGAGAGAGTGTAAGGGAGATACTGACCTGACTATAGTCGTACTTCTCCATCCCCGTAGCTGCACAAGGCTGGACATAGGGAGCGTCCGTGGTAAAGCCCAGAGTTCCGTCTGTGGGAGGCCAAGGCAGCTCTCGTGAGGGTGGTAGTAATCATAGCAATACAAATAGTAAAACTACCAATACTTTTTCTTATTTCTTCTATTATATTTTTCGTCTATTAAGATGTATTTATATTCCCGGTACCACTGTCCCTTAACCTGCGCTATATACTGCTTGATTATTCCGTGAATGACAATATGCCAAAACAGAGTGTAGAATCCGTCACTCACCGCAGGCGTCTTGGCCGTTCATCTCAACAGCCACAATATCTGGCCTGGTGGCGCCGGAGTAGGTGACCTGGATGTTGAAGTCCACGTACATCCCCGTCTCATAAAACTTGCTGTTGGAAATGTGGAAGTGTGTGTCATCTATCTTCTCACATGAGCCGTCCCAGAACTGTGGAAAGAAATTACCAAATGAGGGTAATGCATTGTGATGAAAACGTTTCGATGAGAAGAATAACGTTTCGGCCTAATCTTTACATGGCTCAGTGCCTATTACCTTTATAGTGTGTTCTTTTTGAAGACAGCAAGTTACTCACAGACATAGAGTCCACTGGAGCGTCGAAGGTGAGGGTGAGGTCGAGGCCCTTGAAGGGTATAGTGGTGGCGGAGGAGAAGTCGGCGTTGTAGTTGTGCTCCCAGTCCTTGGTGATGGTGACCACTGCACACATCTCTGCCTCCGCTCCTGCAACGTGAACAAGTATAATCGGACTTAAATCTATAACTATATCGCTACCAGCTGGTCGTTAAAACCCAAATGGCTCACAAATATCCAGACCATAAGGGGAGATAAACCTCTCCTATCTCGTGATCCTCCAGGCCCCAGCGACCGATGTCGTGGGTTGAGTTATAATTTTCTTAGTGTACTGGAGAAACCTAGTTAGATTATTGGACACACAGTCAGAGCCTCATGTTTGACTCTGTGCATCACAATGTTAACAGACATGTTAGCATATGTGATAAATGTCTATAGTTCCAATGCTGCAGTCAGATTGGTTGTCATATAAGAAGAAGGATCACATAAAGATTAGCCCCAGCTTATTTCACTTTAAGACTAAACATCCTAATGTTACCTGGAGGGGTTAGGTTGGTTACGGTGGTTGAATTTAAGGTGAAATTAGCTGGGGGCTAATCTTAAGTAATCCTACAGGAATACCATAGAGAGAGAGTGTAAGGGAGATACTGACCTGACTATAGTCGTACTTCTCCATCCCCGTCGTACAAAAGTGTCTTAATGGGATTCTTGTTAATATACCGACTTTGGTATTATGGCAAGATGGATAAGTGGAATGAGGGTTATATTTGCTAGAAAAACGTAGAAACAGTTTCATTACTGTGTAGGCTCTGTAAACAGGGTGTTAATGCACCTGTGTGTAGGTGTGAGGCTGACTACCTGAGTCAGTACGGGTGTGTAGCAGGGTGATGATGACGACCTAAGTCAATACAGGTGTGTAGGAAGGTGAGGCTGACGACCTGAGTCAGTACCTGTGTGTAGGAGGGTGAGGCTGACGACCCCCAGCAGGAGGTGGACGAGGACACTGGTCATGTCTGCGGTCTAAGACACACTGGTGACGAGAGGTGACGTCTCCTCCACTTATATACCTCCATGTGGCGTCCTCCATGTTACCTCCTTACCTCACTGGCTGATAAGATCACGTTTTTATTACTGATTTGCGTCACAATCCCTTTAGATGCTCGTTAAGTTCTCTCTCGCTTGGTCTTTCGTATTAAATCTTTAATTATTTCACTGTGGTAGACGTTCTCTTAGTATACATTGGAAAGGTCTGTGTCACTTGTTGATGATTATTTCTCCTGCCTCATGGTATAGACTCTATATCATGAGGCAGGAGATATAATCATCAACAAGTGTTTTACCTAAGTACCCCTTTTAAACTTTACATCCACCGAAATTCATAAAATATAGACAATATTTTGCATTATACCACAGCGTCATAACCTTTGAGACAATCTCATTATAAATTGACATTCCATCAGATTACTTCGACAGACTTGCAGATATTACACCGACAGATCACTAAAATACACAGTCAACCGTAGGTATGAATATGGGTGTCTTACGGTATTCCAAACCATAAAGCTCTCAAACAGTCTTCCAGTAGTACGGCATTCTGTTTTCGATAATGTTACCGTGTATATATTGTAATATCAGTGTTATTAATATTTGCCCTATAGACTCACGTATTTTATAAAATGTCTGTACAGACACACTTTGTCTAACTGTTTTGAAACTGTATTGTTTCAATGATATTCCTTTTAATGAAACTGATTCGTATGATACTTAATTGTTTCGAGTTTTGATCTCTGTTCAAAATAAACTGAAAAGTAGTGGGAGTAAAGTGCTTGTGCTTGTGTCTGTCGTCATTACCAGGCAAACTCCACATTTCGTTTTGTCGATTGATCAACTCGGATTTTGGTTTTGTATATTTCTTTATAACCAAAATTGTTTTCTTTTCTTTTTTCACAGCTTGTTGAGTTACCTGACAGGAAAGTACCGATAAATGTTGATGAGAATCTCTTATAGGTCAAGGTCAGAGGTCCCCAAGGGTCACTCTGTGTTGTTGTGAGTGCGTGTGTTTCTGTATGAGGAGAAAGAGAGACGAGTGTGGTCCAATAATAAAATAGATACATTAGGGATAAGGGAGAGCAACATGTTGCTCTTGGCCTGGACAGGTGCAGTAGTTCTCTCCTGTTAGTCCACCAAGGCCACGATGGCACCTCAAATACACACACACTCACTCACTCACCTTCCTGGAGTGAGAATATAGTCGTCGGGTAGAGATTTACAAGTGATCGCGGGCACCTTCGTGCCCAGTGAAAGTTTGAACGCTCGTGCTTGGCTAGCGTACAGCGAATGAGAGTGCACCAAGTCCGTAGACTTGCGTGGTTAATTAGGGTGCGCCAAGTCCGTAGAGTTGCATCGTTTTCCATCTTAAATAAAATGGTTAATTAATGCCTTCCTAAAGAAACCATCGACATGGGACCAGGTTTGTTCCACTCTACGAATTTTTTGCGATCTTTCCACCAAGTTTGATGAAAGACGATTGTGCTGTTTCGGCTGCCCAGAACAGACACAGACACACAGACAGACAGACAGACAGACAGACAGACAGACAGACAGACAGACGGCTAGTCCTATAGTATAGTAGATGAATCTACCTTCCTCAGACGCCATGTATACCCCAGTCATGACAAAGCTGACCCATACTAACCTGTTTAAGCAAGACTCGTGAATAATCAAAGCCACATTGTAATATTCATCAGTCTCTTGTAGGTAGCTTAAATTTCCTCACTAATTCATATAAAATTCTTGATAATAATAATAATAATAATAATAATTAACGGTTTATTGAAAGAGCTTGGCAGCCAGAAGGCTGAAAATGTGTGTGTGTGTGTGTGTGTGTGTGTGTGTATGTGTATGTGTGTGTGTGTGTGTGTGTGCTTCATGGTATCATTTCCACATGCAGTTATTTGGGTATTATATGACTCCTTCTTTTACGTCAGTGTTCCATTTTATTGACAGTGGTGACGCACAGAGGAATACACTTATACGCTGGTTCTCACACAGGCTTTTAGTGAAGGAGATAAGTGTGGGACCCATTACTTGGACAGCAGTTGGTGTGGTAGCGACAATATCCAGTCCTCACCAAAACATGCACATACATACCGTGCAGGCATACAAGCTCATACAAATATTAGTGCGGTCCTATACTGTATACAGGGAAAAAAATAAATGTTTTGAAATATTTATGTCTGATCCTTGTAAAAGCTTATATTTGCAAAAACATTGTGTGCAAAGTTTCATTAAATTTTATTAATATTTAAAGGTTGCGCAATGACTTGTAAATTTCACCCCATAACACTGCTGTGAGTTATCACTTAACAGCCCCAGCCCTTAGGTTGGATCCCCTCCACACACACACACACACACAAACGTTTAAAACAGGGGTATCACAGTGATCAACCGCTCAGTGTTGCCAAGTTAATGGTCTCTTAAGGGCTTTAGGAAATTGGCTTCTATGGTCAGCAACGACTTGCAACAGGTACTGCAGCTGCTCTTCATTCTTTGTTATATGGCTGGAGTACTCTTGTACAAGAGCTGCACCACGCTCAGCGTCGTCATTTGTGACCGCCAATGTTTTTGCGATTTCCTTTGCTTGTATGTAACACTCATTACTGTCCCACTGATGCTGGGATTCTAGAAAGCCTTGTGGAATATAAATTTTTCAAAGAATAGTTTGGTGTTTTCTGTAGTAAAGTGAATCAGCATCTTGCCTTTTATGAAAAACAAATTAACAGTGGCTTATTGGGAGGTTTTTCTTTTCCTTTATTTTCTACCATGGCCTCAACCATTTGATCTTTCTTGTCTGAGGCCATATCACCACCGAAGAAAGAGAGGCTCACTAATTCTTCTGACAAAATCCACATATGGCGAGCCATCTTTTTAGAAGTTACTTTTGAAATTCCTACATGAACCTTTTGTACTCGACAACAGCCTTGAGCAGATTAAGATCACTTTGCTGGACTTTTGCAGCAAGTGGGCAAAAAAGATGCAAAGATTGTGAAGTGCTGTCTCCTCCCGTTGGAAAGTTTGAACTGCGATCGAAACATTCAAACTTTGAAAGTGTAAATGACCTTTGCCATGCACGGGGCATAGTGCATTACCCCAGGAGCTGCAAATCGTGTGCTACAAGCAGGTGAAGAGTCTAGAAGCAGTGATAATAATAATAATATTATTAATAATTAACGGTTTATTGAAAGAACATGACAGCCGGAAGGCTGAAAATATACAGTTACATAATTCGGGAATGGGTCTCTTGATTTACAAATAATATACAAGTAACATAAGTGATACAATATGATATATAATAACTAGGTGGGGAGAAGCTCAAACTACAGGGCATTTCAACATAGTGGCAGTGCAAAAAGTAAGATTGATTGGGAGTGAATACAATTGGTTGATTACAAGTTATTGGTAATTTTTACAATGGTTTGAACTGGGCTGTTCTTATAGCGATCAGTTCGTGCTCATATGGGCTGGATGCGGTTGTGGTGTCTCACAGTAATTCTCGGGCGAGGGATCTCAGGTGGTAGTAGGAGCCGGTGACGAGGATGGTGCAGAAGCTTCTCCCCAAATTTGCAGATGAGGTCGTGGTGATGGTCAGTGAGAGCCGAGAGGGTCAGTGTGTTGAGCGCTTCTTGATATGTGGAGTAGGAAGAGGAGAGAATAATCTTGCATGCCCTCTTTTGCATTTTTCTAGGTGTTTACGTTGTGTGGCATTTAGAGAGGAAGACCAGGTAGGGGAGGCATAGGTGAGCTTGGGAAGTATAAATGTTAAGTAAACACTAAGGAGCTCGGGTGCAGGAACTCCGAGGGACTTGAGTCGGCGGAGGAGGTGGAGACGGAAACTGGAGGATTTGACAACTTCACTGACGTGTGGTTTCCAATTTAGTTTGTTGTCTATGGGTAACGCCAGTCGATTTTATTCAACTGAGGGGAGCCCCTGCCCGCTAAAGGGTTAATATGAGTGGCTCGTGAGAGAGAGAAGTAGAAAGTCAAATTCATCTGAGGGCTAAGTGAGAATACAGCATTCATTTTTTTTATTTATTTAATATCATTGGAACTGTCGACAAACTAGGCGACATAAGTGAAAGGATTTATTTTTTATTTGGATCAGTTACTTTTGTAAAATCAGTTTTCTTTGGTAAGAGAAAGAGAGAGAGAGACATTGTGAAAGAAGAGGCCATCACATGAAAGTCAATAGGAACGTCCTCTAGCTGGTTTCAATCAGGGCAGCCAGACACCCAGTGTAGGCGGCGTTGTAGTCACAGGCCACCTCGTTGTGCTGGTAGTCTGAGCGGATGTCTTGATAGCCATCAGACTGTAGAGAGAGTATCACACAATAGAGTTTATGCAAATTGAAATGAGCTGATCAGGGGACAAGAGAATGCATGAAACCTCCACCTCCGTTAAATGGCCGTGCAGAGGAGTCGAAAATGATGTTTTTACCTAACTGGCAACAATTTACATCTGACATAATTGCAAGAAATATGGGTGAAAGAAAGCCTTTTATAATGACACCTCTCCCTAGATATTCAACACTTGTTTGGGTTAATAAACAGAGTGGGATGCCTCTCACCTGACCTGACTAATGAAGGCTGAGTGGTGTGAAGGATATCAAAAGATACAACACATGCAATTTCTCACACGAAATGTTAGTCAAACACCACAGCCTGTTGCCTTTACGAAGCAATTATTTATTTCTGAGGTAATGGCAGTGTTGACGCTGCTTCATAAAGTTAACTAAAAAGCTCCCTAATACACAGTCGCTCATTTACTGTCTTAATAAGACTCACGTCATCAGGACCACCGACGAGGGCGCCGTAGAGGGTGTGAGGGTTGGGTCCTGGCTGGTTCTGACCCCAGCTGTTAAGGAAGCAAGTGTCCGGGGGGATCGGACACGAGCTGGAGAATAATAACAAAGTCAATAAGACAACACCTATTAGTATGTATTATAAATTGTACAACAAATGTTTATAGCTGAGTGTACGTATATCATGTGGGTGATGGTAATAGAGAGGTAGAGTGTGTACCTGGAGCGGTGGTGGGGGTGTGAGGGAGGGTCTACACCAAAGCCCACGACGAAGGAGTGACCGAAGTCACCCAGGATGTAACCAATCTGGCCCTCAGCCCACTCCCTGTTGGCGTCCGCGTCTGCTGGGTCTCCGTACTTGGCCGCCTAAGGATCAGACATATGATTATGTAATTTTTGTTTGTTAATAAAGTAATTATATAGTTTATTAGGTTTGATTATTAATGTTGGTAAGCAAAAAAAAATTTCTCACACTCCCGAAGTGTAAAGTGTTATTAGGGACTGACCCAAAGAGAGAGGAAAGCGACGTTGCCGGCGTGACGGTTGGAGCCCCACGGGTCCAGGAAGATAAGACCTCCGGGGGTGTAGGTGGCGTCGTTCTTCAGGTACTCCAGGAAGGCCTTCAGGGCATCAGCGTACATAGTGTTGTCTGGGTCTACCATCGAGCCCAGCGCCTGTGGAAGGTCAGATCGAACGTGTGTTACACACAACTTAGAGACTCTACATGATCGACTAAGAGTTGAAGAGAAACGCAAGAGTAAGACCTAAGATTGCTTAAGCATATTACCACCAATACTTAACACTTAACATTGCATAGGAAGACTTTAGCGTTGTGTAAATTCCATGTAGTCCAGCAGTATATGACACTGCAAAGGCTCCGTGAGATTCAGGACTGAAATTTTCCACTAAGACTATCAGGATACTAATGATCTTAATTCGAAGTTTGTCCCATTGATAAGGAGTGTCTACTGGTGTTAAAGCTTTCTTATCGTGGCTTTTATCAAGAAGACTTCCATAACTCATAATGTTAACTTTTGGAAAGTTTCATTTATGTTTTCTTCTATGACTGCATTACTTCAAGCTCTGACATTAAGAGATGGCATTAAATGGTGTTGAAATATTTACTAATATCTACTTACATAGGCGCCAGCCTTCTTGTCGTCCCAGGAGAACTGCAGCGCGTCTTCTGCCAGGTTAAACTCATCCCAGGCCTCCTGAGCCTTGGTGAGGTAGGTGTCGTCTCCTGTGGCGCGGTACAGCCACAGTGCGCCCCACAGCAGCTCGTCTCCGTACCCGCTCCACGACCTGTAGGTGATACACCACCAGGTTATTATGTGTCACTAACCTGAGGTACACCACCAGGTTATTATATCTTGCAACAGTATGTCAATTGATCTTGTGTGACAAAGTGGTACACTTTACCTGTAGAAGTCAGCAGCGTCAGTGATGGACTTGTGGTACTCCAGACGGTACTCGTCGCCGAAGGCATAGAGCTCCTTGGCCACCTCCAACATCTCAGCCGAGTAGTCGGGGTCATCCTTCTGTAAGGTATTGACAGTCTCGTATTTTTGTTGAACATGTCACTGAGAGACAATTTAGCAGAGTTTGTGACATCGTCACTGACTCTGAATCGTCGCAATAAAACTTGCAGTGGTCGAATTTTAATAGCAAGAGTTTTATTGCTAGCTCACAAATATTGGAGTTATATTTGGTTAGTCAGTCTGAGTATAATCATCTGGCTTACGTGTCAGAGCTTATTAACAAAGGAATGTAGGAGGAAATAGCTTTGTGTAAAACAGATGAAGTTGGAGGTAGACTGAGACGCTTTGCCTACAAAGTAAAGTACCTTGAAGATGATGGAGGCAGCAGCGAGGGCGGCGGCGGTTTCACAAGCCAACTCAGTTCCTGCAGGAGGAACATAATGCTGGTCAGACACTGAAATCTACCAAAAAGCTCTAACCTGAAATATTTCTTGAAATTAAAATTGACATTATTAATTCCAAGCAATAACAGTGTTTCTTCAGCCTGATGGATCATACAGGTATTAACAATACGAACCTGGCGCCTCCTTGTCAATCTTGTAGGAAGGTCTCTCCTTGTACATGTCCTCAGGGCGACCCCAGAAAGAGTGGTCAATACCTCCTTTACCAACCTGATAGCCACCAAATATATATATAATTAATGAAACCATTAAACTATTAAATTAGAATATAACAAATTCTACATGCTAATATATATTGCACAATACATATTGCAAAACAATGCACTGAGCTGATAAAAGGCCAGTTTGTTATAAGTGTTAGTTGAGACAGTGTGAACCAGACAAGGTAAACACCAGTGAGAGGACGGTAGACGCACCTGGCCGTACAGTTGGTACTCAGCGGTGTGGGCCTTGAGGAAGTAGTCAGTGGCCCACTTGACGGCCGCACGACCGTAGTCCGTCTGACCTGTGTGACCACCAACCTCAGTAAGATCAATTGAACTACATGTGTTTGAAGTTTTCATTTCTTATTGATATCTAAATACAATTTGCTGTATGCATATATATTATTTTAAACCGGGTGTACCATAACACCTAAAAGCCAAACTTAACGTAAGATTTACTCACCAGCTGCCTCGTATCCTTCAGCAAAGTCTATGAGTCCCCAGGCCAGGACGGTGGCTGTGTAGGCCATCGGGAAGCCGAACTTGACGTGGTCACCAGCTGTTGGGGAGATATGATCCTGAGTCAGGCTGGAAGGTCAAGTGTTGGTACATCTGCTGGATGTATTTAGGTATATTGTTTATCACTTAATGACGGCCTCTCTCTCTCTCTCTCTCACCGTCGTAGTAGCCGCCAGTAAGGTTATGACCCACATCAGCACCGTCGTCCATAGCAGAGTCCCACCTCCAGGGTTCAACACGCTGGTCTTCCGGGAGATGTCCTGACCTCTGAGCCTCGTAGAACAGGAAGGACATGCACAGTGCCTGTAAGAGGTGAAGGAATTTGTAATCAACACATTCTCCAAGTCTGCCAATAGAGAGTAGCTAAATAAGGACATGTACAAATCTGTAGGTGTGAATGGTCCTTTTGTGCGTGTGTGTGTGTGTGTGTGTGTGTGCGTGTGTGTGTGTGTGTGTGTGTGTGTGTGTGTGTGTGTGTGTGTGTGTGTGTGTGTGTGTGTGTGTGTGTGCCTACAGATTTTGTATTCAAGTAAGATTTCCTCTGAATTATGATTTTATCAATAGTAGTGAGAAAGATTTTATACTAATTTAGGAATAAAATCAATACTCTTAATGACTGCATTTAATTCAGTAGATTAAATCATAGTACTTATGGGACTAAGTTACTGCGATTGGATGGTTAAGATAACTTCTCAAAAGTTAATTCCATAATGTTACTCGTTACAGCGCCAAACTGTGAAGACACTGACCTGACCATAGTCATACTTGTCCCCCAGGCCCGAGGCTCCACAGGGCTGGACGTAGGGAGACTCTGTGGTCCAGACTAGTGTCCCGTCTGTAAATGACGAAGGCGAGAGTTGAGAAAAATGAGTTAGAATACCTATTTGTTTTCTTCAATAAAATAAGGACAGACACCACCATGAGACAAGATAGAAAAGAGAAAACTTCACTCACCACAAGCTTCTTGGCCGTTGAGGTCGACGCCAATGACCAGAGGCTTCTCGCTGCCGGAGTAGGCCACCGAGAACCCGAAGTTGACGAAGGACCCCGTCTCTTGGAACTTGTCGTCGTTGTACAGCCTGACGTGGGTGTCGTCTAACTTCTCAGTGGCGCCCTCGAAGTACTGCATGAGAGAATGTATCAGGTGTTGAAAACATAAAGGATAGCACATTATATTAAATAACACTTCTTGTAACCACAAATACCTCTCATCATCACTGTAGGTGAACGTTCAATAGTCATAATGTGTTCAGATGTTCACAGCGAACAAAGTGCTGAGGTGTTTGTTCACTTACGGACATGGCGTCAACGGGATTATCAAAGGTGAATATGATGCTGAGACCCCTGAAAGGCACTGCAGTCTGGGAAGAGAAGTTGGCGATATAGTTGCCTTGCCACTCGTGGTCTTCGGTAATGACGACACACTGCTCACCTGCCGCCACTCCTACAAGACAAATAATATGATTTTGTGTTACGTCTGCGAGAGTACACAAGTGTAACGTAACTTACTTAATCTTCCCGGTGTTGTGCCAGACGCACTTTAGGTCAAAGTTTATCTAGTCATTCTAGTGCATTATGAGACGAAAAGGAAAAAATAGCAGAAAAAGACGTTGGAAAATTCATTAAACATAAATGATATCGTTGAGAAATTTAGTTAACTCTTCTGGGATCTGTATAATACAAGGGAAAGTTAAGACTGGGACGAATGAGTGAATCTCTCTAGGAGGGTGAACCTGGCGACCTGAGTCAGTACCTGTGTGTAGGAGGGTGAGGCTGACGACCCCCAGCAGGACGTGGAAGAGGACTCTGGTCATGTCTGCGGTCTAAATCACACTGGTGACGGTAGGCAGCGTCTCCTCAACTTATATACCCTCCTCTTGTTGCCTCCACTTACCTCATTAGCTGATAATATCCTATTTTTAACAAGAGATTTGCGTCACAATTAGTCAACCTCACATTCAATTCAGTTTCTCTGTTACAGATTCGTTTGTTTTGAAAATCATTGTAAAAGATTGGTATTATAATCATGAGGAACACTCTGGTAGTACACCTCTGCTGCAGCTGTCAAGAGAAAACGATTGATGGTAAATTTCTTGATGCTCTCAACTGCGCCTGTCCTTCACTTGCTGAAAATGGTTTGCAGGAATGGAAAAGGGGTCTTAGTGTTGCCCCATCATGACCTGTTTCATTAAATGATTGATACTGACACACAAATTAATTATAAAACTTTCAACCTCTCATTCGAAGTTGAAGTATGATTACGAATGATAAATTTCCGTGATGTTTCTTGAAATATTATTGTGGTTTATTTTTTTACATATAAATGCAAATTTATTATAAAATGACCAGACTCATTAATAAAACAGAAACAAGTGAAGATGTGGGAAGGACCTCGCCTCTGAGTGCCTATTTGAGGTGTTTTTAAGTACAAATTATTAAAACACATCTCCTGAGAATCAGTTTGTCTTCACCGACTTACTGATCAGTGTGTGGCATGAACATCATTAGGGAGACCTTCTCAGTAGCGAGAGAGAAGAGTCGCAAAGGTGATGGCCAGACTTGATGTTCCATTTAACACCCAGTCGTTATTATCACTAACAGTTATTACAGGTAATTGGTTACTCCGGTTTTCATTTCTTGTCACTGCTGGATATGCGACCTAAAATGTACTGTGTGTTCTAAAAAAAATCGCAGCTTTGGAACATTACTTCTCTGTTCTACTATACTTAAGGTACAAAACACAGTGTACAGTATGTGTTGGTGAGGAGGCAACCCCCTTGTGGCCTTAGTGACACAGTCTGTGAGACAGTGGTGGTAACAGTTACCTAACCTAACCTTAACCTTCCTGCATCAATTGATAATAAACTATTGACGATGGTACACTACAGGTGACGTCCGCTGGGCGTGTCGCGGGAGATAACGCCTAGTGTGAACCGCTCCACCTGTCTCCATCTACTGTATGTACCCTGCCTCACTGACGCCTAGTGTACCTGTCCTGGTCCATGTACTGTATAGTCTCAAAGAGGTAATCTGTCCACACTCTGTGTGAAACATTTTGAGACCACGGATGATAGATATTGGGACATGCATTTACTTTGGTATATAGTTAACATAAGTTATGCAGTGTGTATTTATTTCGGCGTCATTAATATGTTCGGCTACCAAATATACAGTAGTAGGATCAGTATGCGACAGAGCCACGCACACCAACCGTACCAGGACTTCACGAGTTGCATATAGCATTTTGGAAGTCATCGGACCCAGCCTGGCAGATAGTTTTTTTTCTTTTTGCTGTACACGTACTTTCCCTCACGGATGCCTAAGTTAGTTGTCCTCTTTATCACACATTTGAACTGCTGCGCTTGTATCTCACCTGTTAATAACTGCTCGTCTTTTCCCAGTGCAAAATGTACCAAATGATAAAAATAATTATGCACATATTTTTTTTATATGAGTCAGTGAGTGTTAGAGAATCCAATGGTGCTAGTTGTTAGTTCTAGATGGACCATCCAAAGACCAACTAAGCTAAGCATTCTAAGTAAAAGAAAACCTTTGCTATCACTTTTCCTATTCCTCAAAAAGTACATCCACATAAATATCTTGTAAGTTTGTCTTGTGTTATGGGTCTAATTTAAAAATTAACGACGGCTTTCCTTTCCAGATGCCTCACTCCCAGCCCGACGCACGGTGTCCAACACTCATCAAGGTAAGTCTTACATCTGCAGGACCGCCGACGAGGGCACCGTAGAGGGTGTGAGGGTTAGGTCCTGGTTGGATCCGTCCCCAGCTGTTGACTAGGCAGGAATCTGGTGGTATAGGACACGAGCTGCGGAAGGAACACCAAGCGAGAGTTACGAAGATACAAGGTCAAGCCAGTTCAGTTTTAATGTTAGTCACAAGCATATTACTGTAAATTTTCTCGTTACATGTGTGACTCAATATAAATGTTCAAAGTCCAGAAATATCCGCATTTTTACAGTTACTTCAGTAACTGAAGTCTTAAAGCATGATATGCTCATAGAAAATCTGTGGTACGTTTTGTGAATTCCTTAAAACTCATGTGGAAAAAATTTTGCACAGCCAAAATCATTTAGCGGGGTATTACACTCACACACTTTTGTAATTTACGTCGTTCAGGAGTTCATTTACAAGTACTTTTATGAAAATATTCCGGAACGTAGCCCAGACGGAGATTGTCAGGTGCTAAGGAAATTGAGACCTAATAATACGATTTGGCATCTGAGGTAATAGAGAGGTAGAGTGTGTACCTGGAGCGGTGGTGGGGGTGTGAGGGAGGGTCTACACCAAAGCCCACGACGTAGGAGTGATCGAAGTCACCCAGATGGTAACCAATCTGGCCCTCAGCCCACTCCCTGTTGGCGTCCGCGTCTGCTGGGTCTCCGTACTTGGCCGCCTGGTCATCAAACACATAGTTCAGTTAACTCTGTCAGTCATAACATTAACATTTCTTCATAAAGCTTATCAATAAACTTAGCATTAATATTAAACACTAGCAGATAATTCTTACAGTCCAGAAAGTTATATTAGTGATAATAAACTGACCCAGAGAGAGATGAATGCAACGTTGCCGGCGTGATGGTTGGAGCCCCACGGGTCCAGGAAGATAAGGCCGCCTGGAGTGTACTTGGCGTCGTTCTTCAGGTACTCCAGGAAGGCCTTCAGGGCATCAGCGTACATAGTGCTGTCTGGGTCCAACAAGGAACCCAACGCCTGTGAGGGATTAGTTAACATGTTATACAGGGTGTCTCAAAAGTCTCCATACTCAAAGTATGGCAATTTATAGTAGTTTAATGGTTAACGATAGCCATCCATGGTCTCACGCGGCACATGCTGGCATCATCGCAGAAGATTGCTGAGTAATGTACCGGTCATGTGACTTCGCGCATGACCGGGTAGAGGGACGTAAGTGTGAGTCAGTCGACAATGAGTCTTTAGCGGGCACATCTTGCCAACGGTGTGTTGAAATCTTTAGAAGGAGATTCCCCAATAGCCCCACACCATGTAAGGCTACTGTTTATGAACTGGTGGAACGTTTTTGTGACACAGGAAGTGTGAAAGACAGACCAAGAACCGGGCGGCGGTCAGTAGTGACACCAAAGTTTGTTGCAATCTCTCTGTAAGTCAGGTGGAGCGGTTCACAGGCACTAACACTTGACGATGCTATATCTTACCTCACGCTAAAAAGCTTCTGTGTTGTGTTCATTGACGTAAGTTCCTTGTGGATCCCCTTAACTTTTTATCTTATCCAGCTGTGCGTCAGTCGAGGGCGTCTATTTATGGCTGGGGGAGAGATGGAAATATGACAGGATTTAACTCTTAATTTGTTTCCAAATAATTCGTGGGATTATACGCTATGTAAATTGTAATGCACATTAGACATGAATCCCCAACACGGTGCAGGTATGAGTTTGATTGTAATACAGGTGTTGAAAGTGTACGTTTATGTAACTGAAGTGTAAAACGGTTAAAACTTTGATTTAATATAAGTGGATGTCAAGTTACGTAAAGTGAATAAAAATAACACAAACACAACGAAAGATACAACAGAAAGAGTCAAGATGATAAGGGTATTACGAATGAGTCGTTACAGAGCGCCATCATCAACCAGCCATTGAATGACAATTAAGTAGAGCTCTGGTCTCCGTCTTAACCACCCACTTACTACATTGCCGACTAAATTGGATGTAGCGAAATGCTTCATCCCTTACATAACGATAGAGAATTATGCATTTATCTTGTACTTAGTGAGACGAGAGTGACAGTATTCTAGCTTTTGCAAGGACTCAGATTTTTTTTATGATTAGTGTGATGAAATTTGGTGCAGGGGTAGTGTAGTACAGAGGTAGTGTGGTACAAAGGTAGTGTGTGGTACAAAGGTAGTGTGTGGTACAAAGGTAGTGTGTGGTACAAAGGTAGTGTGTGGTACAGTGGTAGTGTGTGGTACAGGGGTAGTGTGGTACAGTGGTAGTGTGTGGTACAGTGGTAGTGTGTGGTACAACTGTAGTATGGTACAGGGGTAGTGTGGTACAGCTGTAGTGTGGTACAGTGGTAGTGTGGTACAGTGGTAGTGTGGTACAGTGGTAGTGTGGTACAGCTGTAGTGTGGTACAGAGGTAGTGTGGTACAGTGGTAGTGTGGTACAGGGCACAGGGCTGGTGATGACAGGAGGCCATCATGTCTGCGTCCACTGTTGTAACACAAGATAAGGTAAAAAAGTAAGCGAGATATTCTCTTTGGAGTGTGAAGGCTGGCAAGGGCGGCGAGAGGGAGAGTAAACTGTGAGAGGAAAGAGAGGAGATTGGAAAAGGGGATTCTCAAAAGGGGAAACGTAACGAGGGTTGGTGAAGGATGGTGCGTGAGGTCCAGGAGGGGAACGTCTCTTGAACACAATTCTATTCCTTCTTCTGCTGTTACTTTTACACTCACAGTGTTCACTTGCTAGATACGACTTAAAGGCTGAAGTACACGAAATATGACTTAAAGGCTGAAATACACGAAATACGACTTAAAGGCTGAAGTACACGAATTATGAAGATGAGATGCAGTAAAGGTGTGTGTGTGTGTGTGTGTGTGTGTGTGTGTGTGTGTGTGTGTGTGTGTGTGTGTGTGTGTGTGTGTGTGTGTGTGTGTGTGTGTGTGTGTGTGTGTGTGTGTGTGTGCTTAAAGGTGTACTATGAATGAGGGAAATAGGGACATAAAGAGGGTCGGAATGGAGAACAGTGATAAAAGTAAGGAAGGGGAAAATCTACATTTCGTGAACTTTATCCTCGGAGTTCGTTGAAGCTGTGATGTAACTCGTCACTCTCCAGTTCACAGTCACATCTCTCAAAACACAACGTGTATCCC